CTCAAGATAATTTACAGAAAGGAGATGTCGTGATAGTGAAGGATGAAACAACGCACCCAGCAAAGTGGCCTCTTGGTTTAATTGAGGAGGTATTTCCTGGTAAAGATGGAAAGGTGCGTGTAGTATCTATAAAACTGCAGAATGGTTGCTTGAAACGGCCAGTGCAAAAAGTGTGTCCGTTGGCGAAAGCAGAAGAGTAGATTAAATAAATATTAAATATGTGTTATTAAGCCGCCGGGGAAGATGTTCACAGATAAGTGAACATTTTTTATAAGATTATTGCAGTTAGGTAATGAAGAGAAGAAAATCTATTTTGAATAAAGTAATACAGTGTGATAAGGAAGCATAGTGCGATGTCTGTAAAATAATTCTATTTGCTGCATGTGGTATTTTTGAGTTAGATTACGGGATGTAATCTTTACTCAGACTGATAAGCAAATGTAGCATGTTTGCTTGCCACAACTGAGATAGCTATGCATCTTTTATGACCTCCCCTTAGAATTTATGACTCATGGTGCACAGGCATTGTAGATGTATATCTCTCTCTCTCGCTTACACTTTATACTAGACTAGGTTAAGAAAAAATATCATAAGTAGTACTTAAGAATTATTTGAAATGAATAAAAACAGTGTAGTAACAAAACTAAAACGGTGCATACAATTTCTTCCGCGTAACACATGTATGGGTTAACTCTTCCTCGTTCTTTAGAAACGATCAATATTTTAAAGCGAATATCCAATATAATGGAAGTATCGGAATTGGATGAAACTTCCCATATTATAATATTTTCAACAACGGATAAACAATTAAATTACCATACTTCAATACAATGTAAAAACAGTCGTTGATTTACACATCTTAACATAATCAATATCTAGTGCACTATTCGATACACAGTCGGTCGGTCCGTTTGGTACCTCAGCCACAAACGCTTAATGTTGTAAAATAGATATATAGAGTAAGTGTACCAGTAGTTGGCACTTTAAAGATTTTCGCTCAGTGAAATTTTTCATTTATAACAACGTTAACTAATTTAAATTCGAAATTTTGTTTAGTTTCCGAAACTTTGAACCACTTTTTGTTAAATTCGTAAAATGTGCAATTTTATTAAAACAATGTTTTTTTTTATTGCCAGTAGTCAGCAACACTTTCCAATTGTCGGCATGGCATGCTCCAATGGTTGGCACATCGGTTTTTAGTAAGGGAATCATATTATATTTAAAAAAAGATTAATTTTTACTTAATAATATAAATTTTTACAGTACATTTCAATAAATATAACACAGACAATTTAAAAATAAATTCATCGCATTTTTTAATGATGAGAAACCTCTGTCGGACTTAGGACAACTGTTATCCTATAGCCCGGAAACTCATTTTTAAGGTTGAATATATTTCAGTTTTGAATTGATCTCATTTGTTAAAAGTATACCAAAATCATTTTATTTGTTCAAAATTTAAAATTTTTCATTAATATCCAAAATTCATGTTTTCCACCCACATGCCGTCTTTAGTTGAATCTATTATTTTTGTGTTCTAGAAGACGGCATTATAAAAAAATAGCATAATTACACTTATTTTTCAAAAATATTCTTGTCTAAACAGTTCTTTAATGCTTTAAAAATACCCTGTTGAAAATTTGTTAATTTTATCAAAGTTATGAGTCTTTTATATTTGACGTCCCAACAAATTTTTTTAAGAATATGCATTGACTGGTTTGTGCTGATGATACTTCATAGACAAAAATGTAAATTTTAATAGAATAAGTCATTATACCCTACACCACAAAGTTTTCAGGGTATAAGACTTTGTGCATTTGTTTGTAACAGGCTAAAGGAGACGAGATAGACCGATACTTTCTTTTGATGATCTGCGTAGAATAACATTTTTGTCTGTCCGCCTATCCATCTGACCGTCCGTCTGTCTGTCCATGTATTTTTCTAAACAAAGTATATATAGTCGCATTTATTGCCCGATCCAGATGAAATGTTGCAGAAGTCATTTGTTTGGCTCAAAGACGAACCCTATTGAAATTGGAGAGAAACGGTCAAAATTTAGATGTAGCTCCCATATATATCTTCGTTCGATTTGCCTTTTATTGAGCACCAAACGTGTAATATCAGCTCAAATAGTAAGGAATTTTGGAAGTGGTCGGATGAAAACAGCAACATCAGTAGAAATGGTACTTGATCGAAATCCGCGTCGCAGTGGCCGATAAATGGCTCGTGAGCTGAACATATCGCAATATTTCATTCGGCGAATATTGAAAAATGAGCTCGGGGTACAGCCATTGAAATTTCAAAAAGAGCAAGAACTTACACCGCAACTGAAAGAAAATAGTCTCAAAAGCGGTAAAGAGTTGCTTCGCGTGGCCGAAAGTGGTTTTCTCCCATGGGAAAACATTCGTTGTCCAGCAGTTTGTAAACAAACAAAATGATCGTGTTTTTATATGCCGGCCATCCCCGTTCCTATTAATCGACCATGGTATCAGAATAAGTGCCGACTATTGTAGCGAAAATATTCTGGATGGTTTATTCAAGCCTTGGGCACGCAAATATTTTGGCCGCAGACCTTGGTCATGGTTCCTTGCCTCATTTCCAGCGCACAATGGCCACCAAAATCTCCGGATACCAATCCGTTGGACTATTGTGTTTGGAGTATTGGCACTAAAAAAATACCAAAGTGTCGATCACCTCAAGCAGGCGCTTCGCAGGGAATGGACCAAAATACCGCGGAGCAACATTCGAGCAGCGTGTGACGGTTTCATTGGCCGTTTGAAGGCCATAATTCGTGTCAAAGGTGACGAATTCGAACAAATCTAAAGTTATTCTAAAATTTCATGCTATTTCCGACATGCTTTGCTTTCATTCAATAAAATTTAAAAACATTTAAAAATTATAGTCTTTGACTTTGTTGCAGTTTTTTTTATCTCACCCTTTATATTGTTCATCCGATTTGATATTTTTGTTCTCGGCAGCCGTAATATGAACTCTGTACCAATGATATTTGGGGAAATGAATCAAATACAGAAATACCTTTCTTGAATATTATCGAGATCGGTTCGGATTTGGATATAGTTCCCATATATATCTTAATCCAATTGAATTTTATTATGCACCAAACGTATGTAATACCCAAATGGTATGGCATTTGGCAATTACGACCAAATTGAGCCTGGAAATAAATATGCAAAATTTGGTGAAAATCGTTTCAGATATAGCTATAGCTCCCATATATATTGTTCATCCTATTTGTTATTTTTTATTTGTTATATTAAGCTCTACTTAATTTGCAAAGAGGTGTAGGGTATCTAAAGTCCGCCCGACTTTTACACTTTTTTACTGGTTTTTATAAGATTGTGCATTGCCTTGTTTGTGCTGATGAACTTTCACAGACAAAAATTTAAATTAGAATAGAATAAGTAATTTCTTAGCGAAATTTTACACAACGATGGTTGACATTATATTTGAAGCTGTTATAAATTCCTTTGTACTCTTATTTATAACAATTCTTTTTTTTTTTTTTTTGAGTTTAAGTATACAAAATACCAACTATTGGGACAAGCCGAACTTAGACGCACTTACCTTAAATGAAATACAAACCTAATGGAATTCATGATTTACTTCAGGTACGAAAACTGTCAACAATTTTTTTGGAACATTCTCCACAAATTGTGAACATTTTTAATAATAAGTTTTATTCTTTGCAATTGCCAATATTTTCATCGATATCAAATCCAATCTGGGTTCTGATACTACCTCTATGAAAATGAGAACTTAAGGAAAGAAATGAGAAATATTGTAAGGGAGATATTTTTCATTTCATATTTTCACTACACATTTTTACATAGATTCCACTTCCTGAACATGGTCTACATATGTCCATACTTTGAAAAATCATGATCATAATGTAGTCCAAATTTTGAATTTAGTATCAAAAATCACAACTAAGTTTGAAAAATCAAGAGATATCAAACTTAGACAAATAACTTAAAAACTTATAAATAAATACGCATAAATATCCGGTCTGTCTAAAACAAGAACATTTTGGCAGAAGCGCGACATGGGTATAAACAAACGTTAATTATGGTATAAATAATTATTATTAATAAAAAATATTCACCGTGTTACTAATGATAGTCATAAAAAATTGCCAACACTTTTGCTTATTGCCTATTTATCGTCACAATAAAGAAATATATCATTTCATTTCCATACAAATGAAAGAACTGCAAAAAATTATGTTTCACGCCTGCCGACAATAAAGTCATTGAAACAATTAATGAAAACCAGAAGTCAAGTAGTGGCCAATTTAAGAGTCAAGAAATATAAAAAAACATGAAATCCAAATCTCTGATCTTCTAACAAGCCTGCGACAAGTGCTTGAGAAGAGTTTTGAAGAAGGACAATTATTACCATAGAACTGTAAAATCAATAATAAAAAAAAACAAATCTCGGTGAAACTTATTACGACATCATAACAACAAAAGGAGAGCCACAATAAAAAAGGCGCCACTTATGACATATGACGAAGACGAACGAACGAGCGACAATACGTTGTTATGTCCGTTAAGGAAGAGCCATCATTGTCATCTGCAATCAGCAGCAGCAACAACAACAGCGCACATTGAAATACAAACAAGCTGAGAGTGCGTGTACTTGAAGTGAATAGGAGTTAAATAGACACACTTACATACAGTTACAGAGCAGGCAATATATATGTGTGTACGTATGTGTGCAAAGTTCTAAACAAAAACAAGAAACCCCTTGGAATTGAAACATTCAATGACTATTGTCAAGAGGGGAGAAACAATCAAATGCTTGTGTGCGTTTCAAGTGCTCTCATTGGTGGCTGCATGTTGCAGCCATTTTTAATTTTTCCCAAACCAGTTCTGTTGGACACACACACGGCTGGTTGGATGGCTGTTGTGAAACGTTGTGAGAGTCTGAAACACTTGCCTGGCCTCGCTTACATTGTTGTTGGACTAGATCTCATTCGTCTGTTCGTTCGTGCCTTCGGTTGCGAGAGGGTGGATGGTTGGTTGGTTGGTTGCTTTGTGGAAATATGTTTGCTGGTAGTGGTGTGGTGCTGACGATGGTGGTAGATGAGTTGGTTGCTGCCTTTTACAGTTAATTAACTAGGCCCTCGTGTGCTAAGGAATTTCAATCAGTTGTTTAGATGTGCTGACAAATTGCGCACACACACGCACGCGTTGCCATTCAATAAACAAACGGCACTTCCTTCCTTTTCCTCGCCTTCCGCAGTTCTGTGCTACACTTCATTTAAATTCGATTCCTATTACTCTGCACTCTTGTCTCTTCGCCTGAGTTGACAATTAGACCATCAAGTCCGCCGCCAAGTCATTCAAATCGGGGTATAGCCGCGCGCAAGTGCAAAATAATAAAACAATTTCGCTTTTCATGCCAAAAGTGGCCCCGGTCGTTGGTCCTCTTAAAGTGTTTTCTCCTCAAGTGTTTGGTGCTTATACTTATTAGTTTTATTATACTTATGCCACGAACAAAAGAAAAAGAATATTTGAAAAAATAAATACTGCAAAAAAGAAACACACAATAAGAATAAAGACGCGATTAAGTGTTTGTGATAAATATTTATAACAAAACAAAAGACAACAACAACAAAAATAAAAACAATTTGCAATCAAAAATTATGTTACAACATCAACAACAGTCATCACAAGTAGCTCAAGGTTACTACGATTACAATCAACCAAGTCCCGGGAGTATAACCAATCCCGATTCGCTGAATAATACTCCATTCTCAGTTAAGGATATATTGAATATGGTCAATCAAAACGAGGACTACGAATCATATGGTACAATGGAGAGGTGAGTATCGTAAGAGTGTGAGCCAAAGTCTGTTCAAATTAAGTTTTAAATATTGATTTCGCTTAAGAGAAGAGTATGTTGCACTGCTCAAAACCGTGTGCTAGCACATAAGTCCAGATTAGAATGAGATTATTCATTCATTTCAATTTTTTAAATTTGGATGTTGTCCAAAATTATGACTAAATCGAATTTTCACAAAAACTGTCAAAAACAAAAAAAAAAAAAAAAAAAAAAAAAATTATATTTTAACACTGGTTTTTTGATTATTAGAATATGTCTACTAATAATCAAAAAACCATTCTATGTCATTCAATAGAATATGTCTACTTAGAAAGTTATTAAACTGGGAGCTATCTCGAAAACAGCAACGGATTTTCCATCTCCCATTTCACAAAAGAGCTTTAGGTTTGAAAATACTTTGTTAAATATGTTCTTATTAAAAATTATCGAGATTAATAATTTTCCTTTAATACACTTGGAGTACTATTTTTTTAAAAGATAATTTTTTTATGGCAGTATGAAATTAAATGTTACTTATTTAAACAATTTTCGCTGAAAAGCTAAAATTATAAAAATTTTATCTGGTATTTCAGATTTTAAGTGGGTTTTCATTACTAAACTATGTTTACCAGGACAATTACATTTTATATTTGAGGCATATTTCTTTGCTTACCCCTTGGTATCCATAGCTATTTTTGTCTAACAAGGGTTGAGCCTGACTATTTTGTAATCAAGACAAAGTTCATTATAATGTTAAAGGTCTAAATGGTATTCTTGGATTGAACAGTAGAATTACTTTCCACTTACGCCGACGGATATTTAAATCTCCAGTTTTTTATTCTCATCGGTGTTCGAAAACTATTGTTGTGTTTCAGAACCCGCAAATTAGTACTAATTAGGAAAAGTAATTGATAAACTGGCCCTCAATTCTCGTTCTATGAAAACTTTTGTAAAGGAAAGAAATGGTAAATGAATAATTGTATAAAGGAAATATTTTTCATTTCATATTTTCATAGAACAAGAATCCATTCCCTGGTTATCGTAGCAAAATTTTAAGATTTTTGCAGTATCTAGAACAGAGTATAAACTTATATATGTATGTCACAAAGAAGCTTATATATTGGTTTCCGATTTATTTCTTTACTAGTCTCTACTGTTTTTCCAAATTTATGATGCTTTTTATTCATCAAATATTCCTATACCTGTGTGAATTTTTAGACCTCATAACGCTCACAAGAAAAAAACCAAACCAAACTTCCACGCAAAGTTGTTCCCATCAACTTGTACGTAAATAACAAAAACAACATAGGAAGGTACATATATCCAATAAAATATGCCAATAATATTTGTTTAAATTTGGCTACAAACATTCACAACTCCTCGGCGTTTTCATCATAAACCACAATATATTTTAAAGTTTGATTTTTTGAAGTAGTTTAGGTTTTTTTTTTTGGTTTTTCAAATGTCAAAACATAGCTCAAGTGGTGCACTTCAGTTTCGCATTTATAATTATGTAGCTAAGACAAATATTAAAAAAAAAAATAATATAAAATAAAATTATGTAGATTGTCGATTTCCTCCCAAAAAAGGGATGCAAAATATTTGGCTGCAATAAATGTGGTTTGGTTTTTTCGTTTTGGATTTGGAAAATTTTCGAAACGTGTCATGATACAGAAAACAATGATTAGATTAAAACAAAGATATTCTTTTAAAAAATAATAATATGGCCCGTTTTAACCCTGCTCGCTGCTCTAAAGTTAACATTTTTACGTCTGAAGTTTTTTTTTTTTAAATGAGGGGTTTTCATTTGAAGGATGTCGAACTATTCAGACTGAATGCGCGATATGTCAAATGAAGAACCCAGATATTTTTGAAAACTTCGTAAACCTGACCAATGGATATAAATAAGAAGTTGTTTTGTAAAATAAGAAATAAAGCATTCCTGTAAAGAAGAAGTTTGAAAGTAGGACAGAAGAACATATGGATTGGCATTTTTTATGAGCGCCTGAGTCTGAGAAATGCAATTAAGTGCATTTAACTTGAATATATTTGGAATACATACTCTAGGAACCTTAGCCCCTCATATGTGTGCTCTATCTGTCCGTTTTTAGTCTGCAAGAAAAGTAAAAAAAGTTGGAAGAAGAGCTTCCCCTAAAAATATATGTTTTGAGTAGAAATCAGTGGCTTAGCTTAGATTCCATATCGAATGAAATACGTATATGGGAGCTGTATCTTAATTTAAATCAATTTCCATCAAGTCAGTCGAGCTCAACAAGGTCTTTTTTATCTACTAATTATTCCAAGCCCGTTTCTTTGGATTTGGTTTTATAAGATATATTATAGGAACAGTAGGAATCAACAGGGTGAGATAAAAAAACTGCAAACGCCATATTTTTCACATTTTTTTATATTTTATTGAATGAAAGCAAAGCATGTCGGAAATAGCATGAAATTTTAGAATAACTTTAGATTTGTTCGAATTGGTCACCTTTGGTACTAATTATGGTCTTCAAACGGCCAATGAAACCGCTGCTTTCGCTGCCCGAAATTTGCTCTGCGGTATTTTGGCCCATTCCCGACGAAGCGCTTGCTTGAGGTGATCGACACTTTGGTATTTTTTAGTGCCAACCTTGCTTTCCAAAATACTCTAGACAGAATAGTCCAACGGATTGGTATCCGGAAATTTTGGTGGCCATTGTGTGCTGGAAATGAAGCGAGGAATCTCATTTTGTAACCATTTTTTGGTGGTGCGTGCTGAGTGCGATGGCGCTGAGTCCTGTTGGAATGTCCAAGGTCTTCGACCAAAATGTTTGCGTACCCAAGGCTTTAATAAACCCTTTAGAATATTTTCACGATAATATTCGGCATTTATTCTGATGCCATGGTCGGTTAATATGAGCGGAGAGCGATAATCGGCTGTTATGGCGGCCTACACAATCACCATGGCCGGCGCTTGTGTTCTAGTGGTCAACCAAAGCTGCACATTTTCATCTGACCTCTTTGGCATATAAAAACACAATCATTTTGTTTGTTTACAAACTGCTGGAAAACGAATGTTTTCTCATCGGAGAAAACCAAATTCGGCAGTTCACCACTTTCGACCAAGCGAAGCAACTCTTTTGCTCTTTTAAGTCTATTTTCTTTCTGTTGCGGTGTAAGTTCTTGCACTTTTTGGAATTTCAACGGCATTACCCCGAGCTCATTTTTTCAATATTTGTCGAATAGAATATTGCGATATATTCAGCTCACGAGACATTTTTCGGCCACTGCGATGCGGGTTTCGATCAAGTCGCTTCTTGACGGGTTTCGATCAAGTCGCTTTCGATCAAGTTCTTCCTTGACGTCGGTCTACGCTACCAGAATCACGGTAACGAGCGATGGTACGATAAACAAAAGATTTATTCACATTTAAATGCTAGAATGCTCTTACGATAGCCACTTGTGGTTTTCAAGCCAAATATAAAGAAATCACAATATCACGCTTGAGTTCCATCACGAATAACTTTTTTTTCTGGAAAATTCTTACCAAAAATTCTCTCTATATACGGGTTAGACAGCTTAGACTTTTAGTGAAAATTAATTACTCATGGAAAAACATTTTAATATTGCTGAACGGTAAGATATTAGTGCCGTGTTGCAATGCAGAAAGATACTTCTGATATTTCTTTTCTCAATTCAAAAATGCTCATTTCCTCTTCAATTCAAAAATTCCAGGATACTCCGGGAACCGCTTTCCTCACCAGGAACAAAATATTCTCACATTTTTTCAAAAAAAAAAAAAAAAAAAAAAAAAAAATGTCCACACGAAATGAATTTCTGTGAAACGGTTCCCCAAAAAGAATGGTACCGCCAGTAAAAGGTCTCAGCGTAGTATTTTTACAGTCACAGAAGGACACAAACTCGTAAATATTATGGACTAACTATTCCTGTGTTCCAGAACTTCAAGAATGTTAAACTTTTTACAACGTTAACAGATTTTTCCTTTGTGTGATATCGGAAATAATTGCAAAACTAGTAGATTTTTGCGGGTTCTGGAGCATATGTTCTTAAAACCGAAAATGCAGAAGTTTATATATGTTTGAGGGTATACTGGCAGGTCCTACCACCAATGCCAGTTTTTTTTTCAATTCAACTTGCGAAAGAATAGAAAATTCCATATGACCTGATTGACGCTGACCGGCTACATATCGACCAGTCGAAATGTCTAATACAAAATATCTCAAATTATTTCGAAAATATTTGTGCTTAACATTAATTCCTTATAAATGTTTCGTGCCTCCTCGAAATAATGATTTTAGACCCCATCGCCCTTTATACGCAATCCCTTTTAGGGCATTGAGAATTGATCCAACCATTTCTATTAAAATCAGACTTTACTTACGTTCATATTTTTTAGATGAATTCCAATAAATATCATTCAAATATCCATATGACATCCCCTGTCACAGTGATCCATTCCGTTGAGGTCAGTAGTCTAAGAAGTAATTAAATTTTAATTCCCACTTCTAGTTATCGTATCGCCACACAATGGAACAATAGAAGAACATTTAACGGGTCATTCATTGCAAGCCATGTTTGTATTGTTCGAAGGGTACATCAATTTGTTTGTTACAAAACAATATGTGAGAAAAACCCGCCAACACCAACACCAACAACAGCAATTTAAACTTTTCTTTTCAAACACATGCTTTGCTTGGTGGATACTCTAGATGCGTATCTATGCTATGTTGATAGCAAGTTGTATAAAGTGCTCCCTTCCACCGAGGCAAGACAAAAGATTTCTAGGAAATTTATACTGGAATTTCTGCGTCACAAAAACCCCACATTAAACAAAATAAGGGACACGATGACAAGTCGCCATTGTCTGGTCCGACAATATCAGCATATCATCGTTGTCATAATTATAATAATGAAGATCATCATCTGCATCATTTGTATAATATAAAATGAGTATGTAGCTGTATATACCCACCACGTATGTATGTATGTCCGTCCGTATGTAGGCCCAACAATAAACGTTTAACAAACTACCTCCCAGAAATAACTGGAAAACAAAAGGTCAAACTCATCTCGCCAAGAAGTATGCATATCATCATCATCGTCTTTAGCATGCCATCCCACCAAGATGACTAGCACTGTGTGGCGTTGTTTTCGTTATAAATCTTGTAGAAAAGTTAATATTTATCCAATGGTAAGCCGGCAGCAGCAACAGACAACTAGCCAACCAACCAACAGCAGCTTAGAGCAATAGTGGTTTGTAAGGGTCTCTTTGGTTTGTAACACCATGAACGGCGATCAGCAATAGTTTCGAACCCAAATCCAGATGATCTTGTTACTTTTTATTTGGTGTGTCTTTCTGTCTGTCCGTCAGTCTTTCGATCTAACTGCGGTTTTGTTGTCTTTGTGCTGTCTGGTGTTGTGTTTTGTTTTGTTTTGCCATGCCGTTGTGCCTGTCCATCTAACGCTATTATTTACCAATAATATAATAATAACGCCTTTTCTAACATCGACCACTGACAGGCCAGCGAAGCATTGGATGGGCCATTGGAGGGATGGACAGACGTTAACTAAGATCACGGCTGCTGCTGTTGCCGCCGTTGATGAACGTGAATAATTCCTAAGAAAATAATATTTACTTTAGTCCAAAAACACATACACACACCACGGAGAGCGAGAGGAGTTAGATGGATGAACAGACATACAACGACGACAGGAGGACAGGCGTTTAAACAGACAGACATATACGCAAACGTACAAATAAGTTGTTTTTTTTGTTTTACTTCGTCAAAATATTCAAAATAACCCGAATGATGAGAAATCCTATAAAAACATGATGACAGGCCAACTATCACATGCATCTTCTTCTTTTTCTCCTTCTTTGTGTGTACTTCATCATCATCGTCATCTTCGTTGTCGTCGTGATCATCAACAACATTGTTTGGTATCTGTTATACGGTTATTGTACTGTGTTAACCTGGTATCACATACAAGTGAATTGGCGGGATTTGGTACAGTGGGTTGAAAAATGCACAACCTTTTGTAATATTGTAGAGAAAAAATATTGAAATTGAAAATTAAGTTTGAATTCTATGAGCCTGGCAAAATGATCCCTTTTGACATCAAGATTTCAAATATTTGGGATAGTTCCTTTTGGTGATCTGCATAAAATCGCATTCTAAATCGATTTAAGCATGTTCGCCAGTCTGTCCATGTATTTTTGTAAACAAAAATACAGGCCGCATTTTTTGCCTGAATGAGATGAAATTTTTCTCATATTATTTGTTTGGCCCATGGACGAACACTTATCAGATAAAACATAGAAATACCTCTGCTACACTTTGCATAGCTTGCTTCAGATTTGGATATAGCTCAAACAATATCGATTTTGATGAATATCATTCCGTCAATTCAGTAGAAATCGATTAGAAGGAGGTTAGTTCCTTTCGACTTAAAGCTATAGGTAGCACTGCTAAAAATGCAAATTGATATATGGCAACATAATGTCGGCTCCGCCCGACATTTACGTATTGAGATGTCTAAAAGTCGATGTCGGTTTTTGCAAATGGTAAAGATCTTAAAGTCAATAGTTCTTAATCGATTTTAAATTTTGAGATTATTGATTTTAATTTATATTAAATTTTTCCAAAGTCAACATTTTTACTACATTCAACACTGGGTTCAAAGGACAAAGCAGATTAAGAGATTGAATAATTTGAAAGGTCAAGAATGTTATTTACTAAAGGCAAAAATCGAAAAGTCAACTTTTGTTTTCGACTAGTATTCCCGTGATATTTGGTGTCGTGAGTAGTTACTTTTTTGTAGCATTTCAAATGGGGACATGGAACCCTCTAGTCATATTGCCGATGTTTTGGCCCGATTTATGCTCTGTTCCAGAACCTCCAACAATCCATAAATTTTGCATTTTTTCCCAATATCATAAAGGAAAAATCAGTTATCATAGCAGACACGTTAGGCATAGGAACCTCAATGCCTGTAAGCAGCTCTCCGAAAAACTAGATGCAATTTTTACAAAGAGATAAACTCATACGAATTTGAGTGGGAGCGCTCTTGGGAGCAGAAAAAAACTGAGAAAACCCTATTTTTCTATGTCGCTCGAATAGGAGGGAGCATATTTCCCTCGTTTTTGAATTGGGAGCAAAATTCGTTCTACTCTAACACTCTTCTAGTTATACCCTCATTCATACAATGGAGAGTATATTTAATTTGTCATATCGTCATTTGCAACAACTAGAAATATTCGTCGTAGACTCCAAAAGGTATATATTATCCTGATCAGAAAAAGAAAACTATAAGGTGTTTTAGCGAAATTACGATAGCATTCACAATATTTCATCTAATTGGCACAAAGGGTATTCTGAATGGGCTATATTGGTCCACCTTAAGGTATTGGCCCAATATAACGGTATTTCCAGATTTCTGTATTTGGTTTCTGCCCCAATTTCCAACCAAATCAGCTGATACTTGACATTTGGCGTTCTTGAAAGCTCTGTTCTCTCCTTGCGAAAAATGTTCGATTCAAGTCCACTAATTGGTATAGCCCCCGATTTTCGGTATTATTTAATTTTACTTTTATAAACATAGTGGTAAGGGGTATAATAAGTTCGGCCTTACTATTTGTAATTTTTTTGGTCATACCCTTGTTGTTTTTCTATTGAATGTGTTTTTTTCTTTACAAGATCACACCCCCTTCATCACCCCTCTTCCTCACTCCAAAGTATACAAAAGAGAACTGATGTGTTATTTCCCACTGTGGTTATTTTTATTGATCTCAAATTCTGCGAATTATCAAGTGAAAAACGGTAACTATTAGGCAATTTTATAGACTACTGAAGCCCCAGAAATCATTGATTTGAATACGCCATGGGTCTATCTTTTACTTCTACTCTAGATATAGGTTTCTTACGGAATTTCCCTGCTTTTCGCTTTGAAAGATCTAATGATGGCCTACCGTTTGTGGAGATTCTCCCAAGTGAATTCCGAGAAAATCTTTTGATTTCCAAAAGTTTTCTTTTTTCCAAATCTTGCCCCCACTATGCCATAACTGTATGCTAACGAGTTGGAGAAAGGATGTCAGTAAATACTTTAACACATGACAACAACAAAAACAATAATAATATTTAACTACGCTGTAAAGAATCGATCGAATAGCGCGAGAGAGAGAGAGAGAAAACGAAAAAAAGATACATACCTACCTACAAACTAACTGAGATAGACTCACGGCGATGACAACGTCGTACGACGGACACCCCAAACACCAGCAACCCAAGATCATTTTGTGCCACAAAACGTTTATTTTTTGTGATTTTTGGGTTTTCTGAATGTTTACTTTTCATTTTTGTCAAATCATTATGTGAGAATTATAATAATTTTTGTTTCTGCTGATCTTTTGGGAAGAAATAAAAATAAAAATAATAATAATAAAAAAATATTCAAACTCATACACAAAGCCACAGCTACAGCCACAGCCAGATCTGAACCGGCCAGACAAGCAGCCAAATGGACGGACTGTCACTGTCACACATATGCATGCGGACGTTTGGACGGATGAATGCTGGGTGGATAAATCAAACTAGAAATAACATTGAACGAACAGAACCGCCACCACCAGAGCGAAGGTAGTCAATGACTTTTTTTGGCCAGAGATGACCAGTTTGGTTGTTGTTGCGGTTTGAAACGGTACAGACGGTTAGTTGTAGTACTTCTGTCAGGCAGAAAAACAAAAAAAAAAAAAAAAAAAAACGAAAAAAGAACGCTTACTCGGACTGTGTGCACATGTGTGTAGATCATGTTTGGCGTCTTGTGCTCTATTCCAATTGTTACATTTTTTCCAACATTCTTTGTCGCCCAGTTGAAATGTGTCGAAACGCTCATTCGAAAAATTGAAAATGAACCGTGAAATGATGTCACAGTAAGCATTGATCGATTTACAAATAGTCCACAAAAATTACAGAGGCGACACAAAAAAGGCGACAAAATTGACAAAAAAAAATTCGCAAGACTTTTTTCGGAGTTAAAAGAAAGTGTGTGTGGGCACTTGGTCCACATATGGTCACAGCGGGCAATGGAATGTTTTCCCACTTAAATCTTACTCGTGACATGCGGTGTCTTAGGAAACGGAAACAGTGAAATATTTTATTTGTGTTGTTGTTATTGTTGTATTTTTTAATTCTTTGCGTACTAATCGGAATTTTGTTTTGTGTTTGTGTGTTATCGTTACAGCCCCTTACAGGCCAATTCTGGATATTCAAACGACTACGATACCCGCGGCTACGATCCTTCCCACACTCTGTCACCCATGGTGCCACATGGTCATCACTTACCGCCCACGGCTGGCGGTCCCTCACCGGCCCAGTTCTACTCCAGCTATCAGGACTACAACACAACGCCCCTAATCACACATGCTACACATGCCGCCACAACGACACATCCTCACCAGGGCTATCAAGGCTATAACACTGCTGCCGTGGCAGCGGCGGCCGCTGCTGCTCATCCCTACTATGTTCCGCCCACAGCTACATATCAGCCACCGGGATATGCCGTGCAAACAACCCAATCCCTGTATCATCAATACAATGGCTATGGCACGGATGCCTATCAATCGCATGTTGCAGTGCAAAATGGAACGACGGCAGCAACAACGATTCCCTCACATCACATGTCTCACATCGATCTGACGCAGTCAAGTGTCAAAAGCGAATATGTCCCCACGCCATATGTGACACCTTCACCTACACTGGATTTGAATAGTTCAACGGAGGTGGATTTGAATACCCCCTCGTCGGGCCAAAAGAAATCGCCGATTAGTAACAATCCACCGCCAGCCACGCTCCAGAGTCTTATGGAAACGGCAAATAACTCGAATTCTTTGAGAAATATTTCAACGGGTCTACCAGCGGGACCATTGTATGAGCAGGCGTCATTGGTGGCGAGATCGGTGGATTTGAATAAAAGAAGTAAGTAGAATGAATATATTGTTTTTTTAATTAAAAAAAAATGTTTTCTTTAATCAAACTTAAAAAATTAGATCTTTTGTTTAAAAGTTCAAATATTTTTAAAGAAAAGATACGAAAATTTCAGAAAGACCTAAAAATTAGTTTGGCATTCTATTAAAAAAAAAATAAATAGAATTTATTGGCTCGGTGCGCTCTTGAGATTAATATCTCTATATCCTAAATTTTATGACATCAGAGGTTATATATCAATAAAACCGGTCAAAAGGTGTACCCTATCTGGCTGATACAAGCGATAATTACCCGAATTTTGCCAAACTTTGTACATCATAATATTTTTATCAAAGTTGGGTTGAGCTCGATGAGAAAGGGTCGATTTCGCTCATTTCCATATCTAGTCTTAAAGAAGTATTACGATGTGCGATCTCCATCCAAATCGATATTTTGTCATAGATATATGTTTATTTTGGAAGCTTTGAACCTCACTCAAATGTTTGAAGCTTAAAAAACATATCTTTATGATAGAATACCGATTTGCTTGAAAATCGTAATACTTGTTTAAGACTTAGACATGGTCCTTGACAAAATCGGTCCTCTCTTCTTGTGTTTCACCAACAGATTTCAAAATTTTTAACTCTCATAGAACGCGAAAATATTAACCGACTGTCTCCAGAATTTCAAAAATTTTAGTAAAAAAGCAGTAAGTTCGGCCGGGTTGAGCTTTGAAAACCATCCACCATTCGGAAATTTTTAAAAACAAAAAACGTTCAAAAATGTATTAAATTTATAAAAATACTTTATGTATTGAGGTACAGTTATATGGAGGCAATACGAAGACCTGGACCTGAATGGAAAATTCTCTGTCACAGGCTGTAGTATCCCGTTGAAACTGCAAATACGAAATTTGAAAGAATTCCGTTGAATAATGTCAAAATACCGAATATCGGGAGGTACCTTTATACCAAAACGTTGACCTGCACAGACAATTTTCTGCCATAGGGTTAAGTATCTATTACGAACTTCAAATACAAAATTTGAAACCATTCCGGTGAATTATGTTGCCAAAAACAATCAAAATACCGAATATCGGGAAGTACCGTTATATGGCGGTTATACGAAGACGTGGACTTGTATAGCTAATTTTCTGTCACAGGCTGTAGTAACCATTACGAACTATCATAACGAAATCTGGGGGTTATACCTAAACGTGACCTTTATAGCCCTACAGACCAAACATACATCTGAGTAAAATTTTATCAACCTACTTTAATTTGTTCGGAAGCTACAGTGAATTCTACAGTGAATTCATATTATGATGTAGGGCATAAAAAAAAATCATATGTTTCATGTCATAAGGAGGAGGGGGTCTAGATTTTACCAATTTTTCCCAAGCTTAAACCGTAAAATAAAATGATCGATGATGTACTACACAGAGATATTTTTTGGCGCAGTCGCTTCGTTAGCTCTTTTACAAACGGCCAATATTTTGAAAACCCGCAATTCCATATAAGTTGAACGTTTGGTTCAAATCATCTTCAATCAATCACAATATTTATAACCAAACATAGAATATGGGCTATATTTTCGATTATAAATTTCATTTCATTTTACTAATCACTCCCTCCATTTTCTCCTTTGTTTTTCTTCCAGAAGATATATCACAAGTGACATCCTCCAAATCTGAACTACGTAAAAACGGTAAACCACGCTCCAAACGCAAGCCACGTGTACTGTTTTCGCAGGCCCAGGTTTTGGAGTTGGAATGCAGATTCCGTATGAAGAAATACCTCACTGGCGCCGAACGTGAAGCAATTGCCCAAAAATTAAATCTCTCCCCGACCCAGGTGAAAATTTGGTTTCAAAATCGTCGTTACAAATCGAAACGTGGTGAAATTGAAGAACCGGCCTCTCTCAAGCACAAGGCTGCTGAATTGCCGCCGCAAAATGTTTCCATGTGGGGTCATGCCAATCATTTGATGCATCAAACGGCGACGGCGCATTACATGCACAGCCATCCGCATGCGCAGCATACAATGTAAAACATTAAGCAATAATTATTACAAATTTATTATTATTTTTTCGTTTTTTTTTTTAATTATACAAAAATTTTAAATTATTTATTATAGAAAACAATGTTTAAGATTAACACAAAAAAGAGGAAGAAGAAGAAAACAATTTAGTCATTTTTTTGTTTTATTAATAGATTAAGTAAAAAAAAAAAAAGAAAATAAACAAAAAAACAAACATTCGCCACTACCTAACACTACAATACTCGTAGTCGATCGATTGTACCTCTCATGAATTTAAAACAAAAAGTATAGCAACTAATACATATTTTTATAGTATTTACTTTAGTTTATGTAACAACAATGTAATAAAATTAATATTTGATAAACTACAACAACAACAAAAACAATGTGTATTATGTAAGCCAACAAAGTGTGCCTAAATAAAATAACTAACATTAAGCAACTACAAATGTAAGCTAGTTTCGTCGTTCCAACGATCGATTAAACAAAAATACTAAAATGTAATTTTTCCCATTGTTATTGTAAATATTAACAAAGCTCCGCCAACCCATTACATTACAACACACATACACGTGTAGGGATGTACGTAGACATAGTTATAGCTAGAAATACACATATTTTCTCACAGATGCTGAAGCAAAAAACAAATGAAAAATATAGTCATTAAATAAATAATACAAAAAAGAATAAAAATAAAATTTGATAAGAGAAAAAAAGAGAAGAAAAAAATCTATTTGTTTTCATTTAACCTAACCACCGAAAAAATTGGGTCCACTTAAGATTAGAACAATTATGTGAATGAATGCCAGTCTGTCCTTCCATTCGTCCGTCCGTCCAGTCCTTTGCAATTAACAATCTCTGGCTGCAATCAATGGGAAAAAGGATGTTTCCACTATTCTGCCGCTGCTACTGCCGGCAACAGCTGTCTAATGTTTTAATTCCACTTTTCATCTCTGCTCTCGTTCTCGTTCTCTCTCCCTCTCACACTCTCTTGAGGTTTTTTTCCGAAGAGATTTCATCGCATTTGGATAATTAGGATTTGTGTGTTTCATTTAAACTCTTATCATTGATCTGGAAAATTTAAATACCAAAACTCAAAGCATTTGTTACGTCAAAACAATTGAAAACTATTTGACTTCTCTGTCTCTCCTTGCATTGTTTGGTAGCAGAAAAAAAGGATACGCCCTATTTAAATGTCATTCAAATTATGTTGCAACTGCATGGCATGATGTTTCAGGGGATAAACACATTTTATTGCATTCAGGATTTGAGAGATTATTGTTTACTTCTTAAGTAAAATTTATTTAATTCTATTTGATATTCTTAGACTGTGTATATTTATTTCGTTATGAAAAATTAATTGTTTACACCGCAGTATTTATTTTCATTCCTCCCACGGTTATAGGCTCCCAAAGATCTGGGTTCATAAAAATATTGCTTTGCTGTCTATCATCGAATTTTATCAAAAAAGACTTTTATATTTTGGTCTTGGGCATTGGTGTACAGATATCAAACCTTTAGGAATTCAAGGAAACAACCAACTACAAAATGTGGTTTTGGCCTTAGTAAAGAACTATTTGGAACATGAGAAATTTTTAGGAACAAATCTTAAAGGTCAAAAATAACAATATTTTTTTTAATTTTTTTGGGTTTTTTTTTTTTTGTAGATGCCAAGCCATTGGGAATTCAAAGAAACAATTAACTACAATTTTTTTTTCCAAAACACTCAATAAATAACTATGCTTAATTGAGAAAATAGCCTTCAGCTGCAAGCTCAACAGTGATTTCAAAATACAGGGTTTAAAAACAATTAAGAACCTGGTAAATAGTTCATTAATTTTTTTACTTACTGAGATCCTGAGATGCAAGGTGGAAAAATGTGGACATCTTAACAGTATATCCTGTATAGTTATTCTTCATATTTGGATAGGATGAATAAATTTTGAGTTTTATATATTTACTGTATAATTGTACCTAAAATCATCAAAATAACGTATATCGGGGGTACCGTTATATGGGGGCTATACGAAGACGTGGACCTGCACAGACAATTTTCTGTCACAGGCTGTAATATCCACTACGAACTTTAAATGCGAAATTTGAAACAAATTCGGTAAATATGTCGCTAAAATCATCAAAATACCGAATATCGGGAGGTACCGTTATATGGGGGCTATACGAAGACGTGAACCTACATGCCCCATTTTTAGTTCAGTTTTAGGCTGTAGTATCCATTACAAACTTCAAGTACCAATTTTGAAACAATTCCGGTAAATAATGTCGCTAAAATCATCAAAATACCGCATATCGGGAGGTACCGTTATATGGGGGTCATACGAAGATGTAGACATACATTGCCCATTTTCAATACCAAAAGTCCTGCAGACGTAATATACATTCGAATAAAATTTTATCAAATTACTTCATTTCGTTCGGAAGCTAGAGTGATTTCCACGGACGGACAGCGGACATCGCTAAATCGACATAGAATTTAGAATTGATGAGGAATATATATATATATACTTTGTGAGGTCTAAAATGTATATTTCGAGGTGTTACAAACGGAATGACAAACTTAATATACCCTCCATACTATGATGGAGGTATAATAGCATATGGAATTTATCTCGCATAATTTTTTTGTATATACAATGGATTTATTTGTTATTTATTAATATTAAATTGAGTTCTGAACGATTTTTGATACATGTATATAATTTGATCTCCATGCTCTTATGAGTACTACCCTGCACTTCACTTTAGAGGAACTAATGTGTTTTCCTATATAGACAATTTTGGAAGGATTGTCTTAAGTATCAAATTTGAAACAATTTCGTAGAAAAATCTGTCTAGAATCTCAAAATAGCGAATATCGGTCGGTATCATAATATGGAAACCGTGGTAGTAGAACCCATTAAGATCTACCAGTAGTTAATATTGGGACTATAGGATATATGAATATCAGGGGGGATGTGAGAAAACGTAGACCACATTTTCACTACCAAAAATCTTAGACACTATGCAAGCTATTGTGTCGAACTCCAAAGCTCTACGTCTATTAACGATACAGACGGACCGACAGATTATCATCGTTAAATCGAATTAGAATTTTATGCTGATCATAAATATATATGGTCTACGAGGAATATTTAAGGGTGTTACAAAGGAAATGACTAATTTAATATATGGTGTGACCTTTTAAGAGCTATACTCTTTCTTGGGGATACTCTTTCCAATATTAAGGTCGGTTTCTCACGAAAAAATACTTCAATGTTGTCTTTAAATGGGTCAATGTGGGTCGTGGCATGAGCTAGGCGGCCCCAAACATGACATAAAAAATGTGCGTCGAACTCTCTTCTCAATAAGTTCATTGTTCATTGTTATTAATGTACACATTGGGACAAAAATGAGCTTCGTCGAATGTTTTTAACGGAGCACGCATTTTGGTAGTAAAATTCAATCATTGGCAAGCGATGTCCGTTTGTAAGCCGATTTCCCACTTTCCATATATAAACTCCACCACGGAAAGTAAGGTCAAAAAATCGTTTAGATCTTATATAAACAATTTAAAAAGTATTTCGGTTTGCCGACCGATATGTGTCCTCATCATTTGAACATATATTTATGTATACCATTTTTGGAACATCCCAAAATTTTTGAAGAGATTAGGAAAATATTCATTGAAGTTGAAATATTCAAAATATGGCTAGAAAGAGTGGTCTTATTAAAAAAAAAATTTTAAAAAATCAAATAATTCCTTTTCTTTACATGAGAAAATAACATTTTTTTAACAATGTCGAGCTTTTGTTGGGGTGGTAACAGAAGGAGTGGGCCGATATTGCTCATCTCCGAACCCGATCAAATGTTGGCAATAGTATTACAATCTACAACAATCTAACTTACTCTGCGATCTTTTTTAACTTTATTAATAATTCCATCAGCAGTAGTTTTAGAAGTCGGTCCGTCGGTGTGCTGAAACAGTCAAATTGTTTTAGAAAAATATTTATTTCAGATAAAAGTCAGGTGAAGAACCATTAACATCAACCTAATTTTTCTTTGGTTCATTCCGTTTGAATCTTCTTCGGCTCGACAAAACCTTGAGCATCTCAATATAAGCACACAACGGGGTATATTATTGTTATACTTTTCATGGCAGTGTGGCTAGAATGGGCTTTGCACCCCATTCTTTTCCACTTGTTTTGTAGGACAGGAAACATATCTTTAAGCTATCCCGTAATTTATATTTCATAAAATTCGGTCCACTGATTGTTGAAGAATTCAAGGTCAGAGTCCAATATTTTGATTTGTTTTTATTTTTTTAAAGAAAATAAAATTTTTAAGCTTCGATTTTTTGAATTTTCCTATTAATTTAAAAATCGCCGCACATGGAACCAACATTTTTCGATTTCTTAGTTCTAATGTGTTTACTTTTGGAATCCATATAGAAATAAGAAATCGTTAAAAAATGGGATTTTATCCAGAAAATAAAATTCTGATTCACGAGCCGTATTAAAATCAATTGCCTCGTAGAACAAATTTGATTGAAGGAATCTGAATTCCGGTATTGATACTAAATGTTAACTGTATGAGCATTGGAGTCTCACAATTACAGATAATCAGTCTTTTTGTCATTTTTTAACAAAATTAATAAATAATTTTATGTTAAAATACTTAAGAATTTAAAGTATCGGTCGCTAAAAAAGTAAAAAAATGCTGGTCGCATGGTATTTATATATCATGTAGGGCATTGTGATGCAAAATTAAAATTAGTGGAGGGGGAAAATTTTAAAAGGTATTGGGTGAAGGGATATATCTGGAATCCCGTAATTTGATGTTGACGTCTCTGTTGGTATCGGGGATTGAGATATGGAGTTTGATTTAGAAAGCTGTACTATAATTGTACGAAGTATTGCTAAATTTCATAATGGTTGAAGGAATAGGGCTGAAATCCAGAAATTTAATATTAAGAAAACTGTAGGTGTCTGAGGTTGAGATATGGAGATTGTTTTCAAAAGGGAACGAAATAGCTAAATCTTGGTATTGGGTGAAGGGATAGAGCTGAAATCCACAAATTTGATATGGATGTCACTGTTGGCGTCTGTGGTTGAGAGAAGTAGGTGGTTTTGGAAATGCGTACTATGAACGTACTAGAATTTTACGAAAAGTACTAAATGGCACTAAATTTGGTATTGACTGTATGTATACAGCTGAGATCCCTAAATTGTATATTGAGGTGTTACAATAAGATGTATTGCTTATAAGGACAGCTTAGGCAGGAAAATGCCAACGAATCGGTGAAAATGTATCATCGACGTTGGCGGAAGTCATAACAACAAGTATACCAAAATAACTATATATAGTTTATATATAAAACTTAAAAATATTGAAAAGGGGCGGCAAAGATAAATGATAATATACTAAACCTTGAACCTACATAGAAAATGTTCTGCTAAAAAAATGCTCCAAAAATCATAAGATTCGACAAAACGTAGACCTACGTGGTCCTTTCTATGGCAAACATCAAAAATTAAATTTGAAACACTCATTGAAAAATTTGGCTAAAATCGTTAAAATACTGAACACCCTGAGGTATTGTAATATGGGGATTAAATAAAAACGTGGACCTATTAAGACAATGTTCTGCCACAAGAGGTAAAACTTATTACGAACTATAAATACCGAATTACAATTCCATTAGATGAAGTGGCTTAACTTTTAACTGGTGAGTTGAC